GTTGGCTTGAACGATATATGGTTGGCTGGACAGACACATGATTGGCTTGAACGATATGGTTGCGACCGCGCCGATATACAGTTGGCAAGAGCGATATACGGTTGGTTCGAACGATATATGGTTGGATCGAGCGATAAATTGTTGGCTGGAACGATATATGGTTCGCTGGACCGATATATGGTTGGCCGCACCGATATATGGTTGGCTCGAACGATATGGTTGGATCGACCGATATATTGTTCCTGCCGCACCGATATACGGTTGGCTTGAAAGATATGGTTGCGGCTGCACCGATATACGGTTGGCTCGAACGATGTATGGTTGGCTCGGACGTTATATGGTTGGATCGACCGATTTATGGTTAATTGGGCCGATACATGGTTGGAAGGATGGGGCTTAGTGGGGCCCGTTCGTAAACGCTTCAAGCATCAGGGAGGCCAAGCTGCGAGTAAAAGCGGGGAAGGGGGGCAACAACAGTTTTAATTAAGGGGACCGAAAAGTTTTGTGGAGAAGTGGTGGTGCGGCCGCTTCCCTCGCCGCCCCCACCGGCCGCCCCTGGGGCCCCCGGCGTGGAGGGGGAGGGGGCCTTTAGGCGGAGGGTGGTGGTTATTCGCAGAAAGCGGGTTGCGAACGAGGGGGTGGGGTGGGAGAGGAGGAAGAGGAGTAGAGGAAAGAATCGCGGGCGATGGCGTAGTCTGGGGGGCCGATCTAATCAAGGCTCCGGCAAGGCTCCGGCAGCTTTGCTTGAACCTTCAGAATTCTCCTAGAATCTGGACCTGCTGCTATGGAGAGCGAGAGAGGGGGAAAGCAAGAGGGGGCAAGAGAGAGTGAGAAAGATGGAGCGAGCAAGAGGGAGCGAGAGAGAGCAGGTGCGGCGATTAATAATGGCTGTGCAGAGTCGCCGGAACCCCACCGGTGCCCCGGAGGAGCCGCCCGGAGGTGCAGCGCGACGCAGGAAGTGGAGGCCGCGGAGTGACGTCACCCTCATTAGTCTTGGGAATTAAAAGCGACACGGCCCGCCATTGGGGCTCCCGCCGCAAAAGAGGGGGAGGGGGGGGGGGAGGATGTCTGGCGCTCCGAGCCGCCGGCGCACTCTCGATTTCCGTCGCGGTAATTCCAAAGCGGCTGTGAGAGAGCTGCAGACGACGACGACGACGGGGTGCTGCTGCTGCTGTAGCTATGGGCTGGCGCTTAGCGGGGCCGACGTCGTTCGTGGAACCGAAAAGAAACTCAAACACAAAAGTTCTGCGAAAGGGATAGTCCGCTCCGGCGCCGCTTCCGACCGCGTGCGGGGGGCGGGCACCCCTTGGCCGAGCTCTCGCTGGTTCGGGGCCGAGGCTTCGGGCGCCACCACGTGTCACACTGGACCGCGAGTGGATACTTCCTGGTCGGACTGTACCGCTCGCGGGCGGGCCGGGCCTGGCCACGGCGCGCGTGTGCATGCGGTACAGGCCGCGGGGCAATCATCCGCCCGGTGCATTATTCACCGCCACCGCTTACAGGCCCGCGCGGCCCGGGGTGGTCCGGGAGGCTCTAACCGCAGCGGATGGGTGACTGGCGGCGCTCGCCGGAGCATCGACCGCGTTCCATTTGTTTGACCGGGGGTGGCGGGCGGGGGCGGGGCAGCTGGGCAGCAGCGGCGGCCAGGAGGAGGAGCAGGCCGATGACGCGGCCCCGTCCCGCCCAGGGACCACTTTGTCGACCCACCTATACCCAACCCTGCCTACGCACACACACGCACACACTCGCGCGCGCGCGGCTTTTGGTCTTCCATTTCCCTCTTTGCCGACGGCCCCCCGCCCCGCCCGGCCCGGCGACGAGGATCCCCACCCTGACCCTTTGATCTGGGCCCCGCGCCCCGCCCGCCCCGCCGCGGGGGTGGGAGAGGTTTCAATCCGCTGGACTGCAGTCGCGGACCAGTGGACCAGTGGGGCGTGGCGGGGCGGGGCGGCGCGGGGTCGGGGGTGTTCCTATCGGGTCACCCCGTCGGCGGGGCGCGGACCACCGCGCGACCCATCCCCCCGCGCCGCCCGCGGGTCGGCCTCGGGTCGCCGTGTATCGGGTTCCATAGCGTCCACTCCGGACAGCTCCGGCGCCGCTGGTCCGAGAGAATAAAACAAGCAGTCGCCTCCTTCTCTTGGCTCACGTCTGTGAAGCTGCCGACCCTCTGCCGGCCTCCAGACTGCGGCTCAAGGTTGCCTCCAGGGGCGCGCCGGCGGCGCAGCGCCGGAGAGAAGCGAGAAGCGACCGGCCGCGTAGGATGAAACGCTCAAATAGTTTCGATTCTGAAAGTTTTATTTTGACCCCTCCCTCCCTCTCTCTCTCCCGCTCAGCTCACTCCCACTGCGCGCCGCGGCCCTGAAGCCTGAAGCGCCACCCGCCCCGCGCCGGGTGGCTATTGATGGCGCTTACACAACTTTACCGACGAGACGCCCCCGGCCCGCCCCGTGCCCGGCCCTCCACCTCCGCCACATATTCACACCCCCTGGTGTATGATCGCATACCGCCGGAGGGGGTTCTCATAGCCAGCTCCGCGCGTCTGCCCCGCGCGAGCGGATTTCCTGTACCACTATACGCCTTTACGAGGAAAAGGGCGTAGCATGCGTTTCCGTTTATATCTGCGTCGTCGCTACTCGAATTGCTGAGTGACTTTCATCGCCGCAGCTCTCCGAGTTCTCTGCGACATCGTGAAGGACTTGTTCACGACACTGCATAAATGCTTGACCGTCTCTGTAGTCCTTGGTCTGGTGCCTCCTCCATCGCGGCCCACACCGCCTACACTACCTCAACTCGCTAAATTTGATCCCCCACCCCACCCCCGCCTCCTGCAAT